TTGATTAGTTGCTTTCCTGCTGGTTAGCCTATGATTAGTTGCTTTCCTGCTGTTTAATCTATGATTAGTCGCTTTCCTGCTGGTTGTCATATGATTAGTCGCTTTCCTGCTGGTTAGCCTATGATTAGTTGCTTTCCTGCTGGTTCGCCTATGATTAGTTGCTTTCCTGCTGGTTAACCTATGATTAGTCGCTTTCCTGCTGGTTAGCCTATGATTAGTTGCTTTCCTGCTGGTTAGCCTATGATTAGTCGCTTTCCTGCTGGTTATCCTGTGATTAGTTGCTTTCCTGCTGGTTGGCCTATGATTAGTTGCTTTCCTGATGGCTAGCCTATGATTGGTTGCTTTCCTGCTGGTTGGCCCATGATTAGTTGCTTTCCTGCTGGCTGGCCTATAATTGGTTGTTTTTCAGGCTGGGCCTGTGTCAGTAACCTCCTTCTATTCAAGACAGATGGGGAAGGGGTAGTAATTAAAACCAGGGAGTAGATTCATACCTCCAACTACAATGTAGCATCGTCTCATATCTGACACTTAATATAAATTAAAGAAATATGGCCAAACTTCTATGTATTTCTTATATAACATGTGATGAAAATGAAACCTTCCGCTATGTACATCTGGTTATTTACAGCACTTTATGAAACACTGCGGCTGATGAACGTTCTGGATGGAGTGTAAAGTTACTATATCTAGAATGATCTAATGAACAAAGGTCACATTGTCTCCATGACGTCCACAGGTCCCAAACTTACTGCATCGATTGCACAAATTATGGAAAAAATGTACCAAACCAGCCGGGTTGCCAAATCATAATAATTATTATAGTGTAGTATTTATAAAATACCAACCTTTTCCGCACTCCCTAGCGCTGTACAGATGGGGGAATGGAGTGCATAAGTAACATAGTATTCAGACAACAGGATTTTTGTAGAGTCCAATTCTCATCATTCTCAACACCTCGAGGATCATCCTCAAACCGTGTAAGCTTTATTTTCCTTAATCTTATAGTTTTTTTTTGTATAAAAAGTATTTGTGCGAGTTTGTATCCATTAAAGGGACACTTTACGGCAAAATACAATAAAATAAATACATCTCTAGTTAGTGGATTATAAACCTAATGAAATCATGCTTGCATCTAATTATACATTTGTTCTTTGTGTGTATATCTTAAACAGCTTGTAAACCCTGCAGATCTCTTATCTGCAGCTTTTGCAAGCCCTCCCCTTCTAACCCCGCCCAGATTTTCTGTGGCTGTCCAATCACAGTGCAGCTCAATGATTAGTCTTTGCAAGGCAGGTGCTCTGGGCAATTGCTTCTTCTTGAGTTTAGATCCACTGAGCTAACCAAACCAGAAAGTAACAGGTCCTGGTATCTAATTGACAGCTGGAGCTGGGGGGTGGGAGATGTGGGGGGTGTAACCAGGCTAATTTACAAAGGGTAAATTTCTATTGAAATCTGCATTTTTTGGTAAGCAAAAGAGGACACAAGCTAAAATGTTTTAGGAATCTACAGTGTCCCTTTAATTCAGATGAAAGTAATCATCTTTTCTTACTATCTCAATTCAATTCAAGGAACTAAACTGGAATCAGATTTGTCTGTATTATCCAGAGTTTAATCAGCCCCGAATCTTTCCTGATCACCTATTTCTGGCTGGCAATACGCCTACACCGGACTGTGTAATCAAACTATTTCCCAGGAATGAATTCTCTAACGATTTATGATGCCAGACATAAAAACAAAGAATGAATTAGATAGAATCGCTGTCCGTCATTTATTCCCACAGAGCCCCTGTTTGCTCCACCTTTGCAGAAGTGTCAGGTCCTGCCTTCACTGGCTTCAACCCACAGATTGGGTAAAGGGAATCTCAAAGCACAGGTTTCTCTTTAAATTAGAGAGTCCTAATAACATCGGCTATTTATTAATAACCCGGGGCGTTATTTATAGAGGAGTACTGAGTATTATTTAGTGGGCATTATAATAAACTGTTTGCCCCCACTGGTTAACAGGAGAGCCTTGGGATTCTTATTGGCACTATTGGCACATTGTAGAACCCTCAGATATTATTCCCTGGGTGATTCTGGCTGATTCTAACAGGGTTTTAGTTATTTAGGTTTTATTATTTGTGTTTATTACTGTGTCCATTGGCAGCCAGTCGATTATTCATTGCTTTCACTTTGCAGCTAAACATCTATTGGCCACAAATCTCCCAAATCTGCTTCTGGACTGACAGATTCTTGGCTATTTCAGATGCAAAGCCGGGTTTGATAAAAACCCAGATTCTTGTACTGTGTGTGGAATATACATTTTTTTGTTACGCGGTAAAAAACATGTTTTCTAAAAGCAATTTTGCAATTTCTGTCTCAGTCTCAAAAACGTTCTCCAATTTGTGGAGAGCAAAAAACAAGTCGCAAGAGTGCACTGAGGACAGACAGCAGCTGAAGTAGCCTGCCCTTCGGTGGGTCCCCGCTCAGAACTCAAGCTGGTTTTAGCTCATCTTGTGCCATTACAGAGAGAACATATCTGAAGCATATCAGACTGGTCCCACCCATACGGGCAGTCCAGATCCGAAATGCCAGCAAGGTTGAAATGATCGTCTGGGGTTGCTGTATCTCTCGTGCAGAGGGAACTTGCTGGCATTTCGGATCTGGACTGCCCGTATGGGTGGGACCAGTCTGATATACTTCAGATTTGTTCTCTCTGTAATGGCACAAGATGAGCTAAAACCAGCTTGAGTTCTGAGCGGGGACCCACCGAAGGGCAGGCTATTTCAGCTGCTGTCCGTTCTCAGAATACTCTTGCAACCCGTTTTTTACTTTCTCCAATTTTCCTTTAGTGAATATTCAAACGGAATTCTTTTCATTGGATTCTGTTATAAATTGGATTTTCCAAATCTGAAGCAGTTTTTAACCCTTTCAGTCCAAGAATACTGTAACGCTATACGTTACTGTGTGCGGCATTCTGGGTTAGTGACAGCTCAATAACCATCAGCACTGCACCATCTACCACTATGGTAAACACTTTAATTTCCCATTTATCTGCATTGAAACTTTAACCTGTTTAGCAAAACCAAAAGATATAATGTGGAAAGTATGTTATAACAGTTTATTTGGGATACAAAAAAATGTGAAAATCTATATCTGAGCTCTGTCATTGCCTGACCAAAGTGGAGAAGAAAACAAAACACCCTTTGCTCACACTTGCAACGCCTCGTTCAGTCTTGCACACCCTTCCCTTTGCTCACATTTGTACACCCCTTCCTCATGCTGGTACGCCCCTTCCTCATGCTGGTACGCCCCTCCCTTATGCTTGTACGCCCCTTCCTCATGCTTGTACACCCCTTCCTCATGCTGGTACGCCCCTTCCTCATGCTGGTACGCCCCTTCCTCATGCTTGTACGCCCCTCCCTTATGCTTGTACGCCCCTTCCTCA